GAGCTATCCCGTAAGCCGGTACCAGCTACTCTCGTCTGACCAGTCAGTGACGTAATGTCTATGCGCTCTCATACGGCGGTCTGCAGGGTCCCAACACCTAGGGCCCCGAAGGGGCTCTATATATAGGTCCTCAATGTAGCACTCTGATCAAAAAGGACTTTGTTGATACATAACACCATAATATGCCTCTGAAATCGACAGGGCATTATATCATATTATATCTAGTGGTGGATTAAAGGGACCAGGATCCAACCAAATTTGTCGAAAAATGTTTAAATGGAGATAAAAAGAAAATTATATTCTGTGTGAGTGCCATTTCCGACCTAGACATGCCATAATCATACATTTTCTTATCTCAGCCCAACAATGTGCCTCTGAAATCGACTGTAAGTTATATATTATATCCAATGGTGGAATAAGGAAGTGGGGGGCGGGGGATGGGAATCTTAAATACATACACGGATGTTCAAATGTTAAAATAATGTTTTTATTAGTTAATTTGAAATTACGAAGGTTATTCGATTCTTTAAATTCGCGTGGCAGCTTATTCCATACATGCACGCCAGCATGTTTGAGTGAAGTTTTGATTGTATTTACATTTACTTTAGGTGGTACGATATTGAGTGAGGCTGAATTTCTGGGGCCAGATTTATCAACCTAAAAATCAGCTTAAAGTCGTCTTTTTGTTTAAGTCAAATTTAACAAATTTGCAAATGTGCTTTGCTTAAAAATTGCTTAAAATTAGGAAGTTAGTTTTACAGAAGCGCCATCTAAGACAATTTTTAAGCCAAGATTTTGCTAAGATGGTTTAATAAATCAGCTTAAGATATTTATTAGGGACATCTTAACTTTTTTGACTTAAGACAATTGCTAAGCTGAGATTGATAAATCCCAGGCCAGGTGCTATATTCGTGTCGGTCGAATACCACATTTCAATTTCGTTGCCTAGTCGTGGAGGTGCAGTGCCGTGAAAACATTGATACATTAAACATACTATAGAATAATCTTGTCTTTTTTCTAATATGTTCCATGACAGGTTATTAATGATATCTTTGCCATGTATTGTATTTGAAGTTGTTGGTAACTATACAGGCTGCCCTTTTTTTGCAGTTGATGGATTACTGTTTTATTTTTATTGCTGCTATTTCCCCAAACTGAAATACCATAATTCACACATGGCTGGATTGTTGTTAGATATAGTTTTGTTAATAAACTTTTATTTAAAGTGTAGGCTAGTTTGGAGATAGATATAATCGATGTTGAAATCTCCTAACAAAATTATTTCTCTATTTTCATTGCAGACTTTTTCTAGCATGTTTGTTATCTTGTCAAAATATTCGGCTTTAGAATCGGGTGGTATATACATGCTATTAGCATAATGTCGTTTCCTTTATTATTTATTTCGGTCCATACTAGTTCAATTTCTTCGAAATCTAAATTTAATTCTTCTCTGTGAACATATGAGATTCCTTCATTTATTAAATCATAACCCCACCATCATCATTTTTGTTTGTTATGAGTAAACCACGGTCCTTTCTTGTTAAAGTATACACTTCTATATTGGATAAAGTATCAGGTTGAGTTTCATTTAACCAAGTTTCTGTTATAACGAATATATCAAACCGTAGTTTTGTTAGCAGAAATTTTATTTTGTCTAATTTATTTTAAATTTCCAATCTTAAGACCATTTTTTCAATGTTCTTGCACCCTTGTTATAGGCCTATGCAGCATCGTTAAGTCTTTTCTTACTTTTGATAGACATATTAATATTCAATGTGTCATAATCATCATCACCACCAACATCATTCTCATCATCATCATCCTCTTCATCAACATCGTCAACTTGTTCGTTATATTCCAAGTTATTGTCCTCATAATCGTTAAGGTCAACAGCATTTTCATCATTGCCTTTATCAACATATTTGGTGTCGTCCTCTCCAATCCAAACTAACGTTTTTTAACATATTAAATTATGATTCATTTCTACATCTCTGATTTTGTTTTCTATACTTTTACTATTTGTATCATCGTCGTCATAAGCATCAATAATAAATATTTCATTTGTATTGATATTACCAATATCAAACCTAATAAGACTATCTTTTACCTTAACATTTTTATTTAGGCCATATTGCATTTTTATTCTTACTAATTTACTATGTTCTATCCCATTATGAAAACTGGAATTTTTAACTAACATGGCCACACCCGTGACATGGAATTTGGCGATAGACCCTGCATATATCTGCCTGATGGTTTTCCTCACCACAGCGATACCAGCCATCTGACTGGTATCCTCTTGATCCTTGCTGATGGTTTCTAGACCAGATCGACCAATGCTTAGAGTGCTGTTTATGTAAACTTTGAGAATAATAATTCTGTTGAGTATGACTAGTTATTGCGATGATTACTATTTTAAATTTTTTTTGCTTGCTTTTCACGGTGAGTCCGTTGAATTATAGTGTGGATTGAGTTTATATTATGCAGTAGTTTCGTTGTTCCTTGTACCTGTTAAATGCAGGAATTTCCTTGTGAAGAGATGTGATTTGATTTGATCTCTAACAAAGAAGTATCGTGATCAATAGTTCTATACTGTCTTATGTTTGAATTATTAGTTTTTGTGTCAAGCCTATAGGGCATATGGTTGACAATATCAGCTCTGTTTCAGGCGCAATATTATCAATTGTACCAATAAGATTCATTCATTCCTTGTGCAAGCTCATCATCATCATCATCATATGTACAGTTGTTTGTGCAGATATGTAGGATGATCACATCATAATAAAATAATAATAATCATTATTATTAATCAAACATATTCATGTCATCAAGCTTTTCAGACACATCCAAAACATTAACTCCTCTTAAGCATTTTATCTGTATTTAGCAACCCCCTTCCATGTATGTCCCTGATCATAGGGTCCCCTATAATTAGTGTATTGGTGGAGTTTTTTTTATCTTTATCATTGTCATTTTTAAGTTTAGCTGTATGGAATGCCTCAAGAGAGTCGTCATCATCATTGTGTGTATCTTTCATAGAGCTATTAAACAACTAGAGTGCTGACAAGATGGCGCTGCGCAGCGGTGCACTGGGTAATAAAAAGAATATACAACCGTTAGTGGGCGTCCTACACAGGCATGACGTTTTTACGAACGGGACGCGATTTTTTTTTCCGTACGAAACATTTACATGAAACTCCACTCGGGCCGTCTCGGCTGAATCGACCCGAAAACCCGAAAATCTCATTGCAGAATTCAGGAGGTCAAAATGTCAAAGATAAACGTCTACAGAACAACTTCTGAGAGAACGTCGCTGTCTAATTTTTAAAAATACATTGATGTTACCATGTTAATACCAATGGGTCGTTTAAAATGACATATACTATTTTATTAAGCTGCACGAGTAATGAAAAGTGCACTGGGTAATAAAAAGAATATACAACCGTTAGTGGGCGTCCTACACAGGCATGACGTTTTTACGAACGGGACTTTGCTCTCTTGTTCTATTTATACTCTTTGTTACTATATTATTGCTGTTAAACATATCTATATATTTTCTGTGGTTGTCAAGAACTTTATTTCTTGACTGGTACGTTTTACTTTTCCTTTGCGCTTCCAATTGTGTTATTTGTGTTTGCTGTTGTTCTGCTTTTAGTTCCAATGTATTTACTCTTTCACTCAATGTCATAATCAGTGTAGATAGTTGCATGCAGTGGGTACAACTGTAGTGCGTGTTTTTTGCAGTTCCTACTCTTGTCTCAATGTTTTCCGGTGTATTTTGTAGAGAAATAATATCCTCATCATTTACAATCGATCTGTTCAACTACCGTTAGGCCTAATTGGTGGGCTACATTATCAATATAGATTTTCAGTAATATCAAATCCGATAGATTGTGATCTATCGGATTTTCGTTACATCTTTTTTAGCAAAGGTGGTGAATTTTCAGTAGGCCTAGTGTCTTTGGTGGTAAGTCATCACTTATAGGTTTCAATTTTTTAGGTAAAGTGTAAGGTTCATCATAAACCGGTTCAACTGGGTACTTCTTAGTCATGTTGGTATTTGGTGTAGGCCTCAATACCCCCAATAAAACACAAATAAGCAATCCTACCATGATTCCAATACTGTAAATCATATTCAGTTTTCTTAGAGCAATTGCTTCCTGTGTAAAAGCGTGCCGCCTCATGTATACGGCGATTTATCCAAACCGCTGATAACGCTTGGTTGTCCGTGATTGGGTGAACCGTGATCGTTTTACCGTATCCAGATAACAAAAGAGCCTAGTTTGATTAAGTGTTGGAAAGCTGCCTTATCTTACGATCTGGCCTTATCTCACAATACTCAGGATATGGTACAGCGAAAAGTAAAATACTGTATCAGCAATTTTACTACTTTAAAGTACTGTACACAGATTTTTCTCAAAATTTGAAATAGGCCTACGTCTATTAATGTTGAGACTCCCTCTAAGACTTTATATACAAAGACAATTATATACAGTTGTCTCGGTATGAATACTAGATTATTATTGATTATGTGAAAGTGGAACCACGTACCGGTACATAATTAGTTAATTTTAATGTTTCTATTTCAAGTTAAATTTCAATTTTATTCAAAACCCCCGAAACGATAATAATAAAAAACATTTACTTAATGGGTTTCAACACATTATAAACAAATACATCGCAAAACACATCAAAACAGAAACCAAAAGACAAAAATTCAATCAAATAGAAAAAATTTCACTTAAAAAGGAGATGGGTTTAAATTAGTATAAAAGTTACCCGGTAACTCTTGGATGATAAAAGGTCTCTTCCGTTATTACATTCTATACCGGTACATCTGAAATGATACCCTAACACTATGAGTTAATCCATCTTTAAATTGGATTTCAAATTATTTTTGTTCTTTTTCTTGTGATACCAACTGTTAAATTGCATTTTTTTAAATACCGGTAACATAAATATAAGTATATATTATTAGGAATCAGTGGTGAAGGCAGTACTTACCCGACGGTAGTCGAGGTCCCCGACCGGGGGAGGGGGCAATGTCCCCGGCAGGAAAAAATTGGGCGTGTTCGGGCGTCGCTCAACTCTTTTGAAAGTGTTCCTGTGGTTAAAGATTTCCCACACGAATGAAAAACAGACGAGCAGTACTAGGTAAAAACAACTTGATTTCTTGCTTTAACAAGCTATCCATTCGTAAGTCTTTTATAATATAAGCCTATCCAAGTGAACATAAAAGGGTCGGAGACCAGGACATACCTTCGACTTTAAATTGACAAAGATTGAAAACGTTAAATACAGACAGAAGTAATAAAAACTGTCGATTAGCATTTTAAGTAACAGTATGTAATATTAGGAATATTAACTGTTTTTATTCTATCAATCATCATGTTTTGGACGGAAACACTTTGGGAGGCCTCACAGAATCAATAAATGAGAATAGGCTAATATTTTCGAGATTTAGAGTTAAAAATTTGTGAAATTTGTGAGATGCGCTTAATTAAAGGTGCCAAAAAAGAGCCCAGAGCAGATCAGATGAAGAGTATTTCGATAGACCCAATGAAGTCTTAATAAGTTTACTTTCTGCCAACATAAATTCCAAAATGTTTGCTTTCAGGTTGTTCTGATCATCGGATTTGCGCTAATTGTCGACGTAACCGCCGATATCGAGGAAGCGTGCAGCGTATTCCGCTATTACCACTATGACTGCAAAATTCCATGGCAGTTTTACACATTTGTGGTGTTTACAATCCTTGTCGCAATTCTGACGTTGGTTACTTTCTTTGCTCATCTTGTTATGCCTGCTTGGATGAACCCGATTACAGCAAAAATCGCATATTCGGTATGATCACTTGCATATTTAAAATCAATAGTGTCTTTACGTCGTAGTTAAAGCCAGGTTCCAGAGGAAAAAATGTTTTGATATGTTGTAGAACTGATTTTTCTAAGACAGAAATAGTATATTTGACGAAAAACTAGGGGGGGGGGGCGTAACCACCCTTTTTTCCACCTTTTCCCTCAGTTTTTAAATATTCAAAAATCTGTATTGTATATCTCATTAACCGTTCCCAAGTTTTTCGTCAAATATGCTTTTTGTGTCGTAGAAAAATCAGTTGTACCAGGGAACATTTCCAGGGAACATAACAACATTTTTTCCTCCTGAGCCTGTATTCAACGCGGAATGTAGACCCGTCATCAACTATATAGCCTTTAAAAAAAGGCAGTTTATAAATTTACGTTTCTGTATAACAAATGATTAAATGATAGGATTACTTCAAACCGAATTTTACGATTAAATTTTATGATCAATATACATTAGTTTTTCATGTTTTAGGAACTTGCGTCCTGTGTTGTATCAGCTGTTCTGGTTCTAATTGTTTCTTCATGCCTAGCGTCCAAGATCATAATAGGACTTGATAAGCAAGTCACAGGCTGTGTAAGTTAAGCATCTGTCATTTAATAGGTACGCTATCTCGGCAATGATAAAGCAGGTTAGGGTTGACGAAAACTAGGAAAATTAACAGGGGTGGTGCCAGCGGGGACCGGGGATGGCCTGCTCCCCCTGCGGGAAGAACTACCCCCCCCCCCCGTCGGATAGAAAAAGCATAATTCGTTGGGGAGAAAAAAAAAGTATAGGTATCTTTTTAAAATCTCTAAAAATCGATTAAATAAGCCTTTGAAATCCCTAAATTGTCAAAATTTTCGGCGGCATCGCCCCCTGGACCACTTTTGAAACCTCTTAATCGAAGCTCAACCACGCCCACTTTGCTTTCGTCGGGGAAATCTGACTCTGGACATTTCTCCACTCCCCCCCCCAATCTGACCCCTGGCGGGGACATTGCCCCCCCCCCTTGTCGGGCAAATCCTGGCGCCACCCCTGAACATTAACCATTACCGAGATAGTTTCAGAAGTTCGAGTGGTACAAAGGATAAAACACTAACACATATGCCTCCTTATAGTTTTATCTCCTTAAATTTTCGAATGTAAATTCATAAAAAAGTAACAATACTATACGGCGTTTCTGTTCATTGTTCAGAAATTTATTCATTTATTAACAGTTATTTAATATTGCGATTTTGTTAGAATATATCTCAAATCTCAATGAATTTTGTTGGGACAATATGATATGCTGACGATAGTATAATAATATCACTTAGGTGTTTCACGCCTTGGTATTCGAAAAAGTACCTAGCATCTGTTGAAACTGATTCCAGGTGGTCGACTGGCTAAGGTGGTGGAGGCAGGAACCTAGACTGGGTTCCAGTCCCTAAACTTCGATCTTGGCACCAATGGCGTTCCATATTGCTTATTTGCATGGCATTTCATAGTATACTTTTTAAAGATTAGTTTAATTCAAATTAAATTAAATTTAGATTAGTTCTAATTCGCATAAAATAAAGTTAAATTTGAAATGTATACTATTTTGTGAAATGCAATTTATTAAAGTTACTGTAATTTATGACAGTAAGCTAATTCGATACAAATTAAGTCCAACTGATATTTGTCATTGTCATTCAAACCTATTCTGTATCATCTCTTTTAGGTGTTCGGTTTCATAGCATTTGGTCTGCTGTTGGCGGAATGTGCTTTCCTGTATCAAACAGCAAGATCTACTTTGGTATAAATTGGCGACTTTTCAGGACACATTTGAACAGATACCGTGTAGGCCTAGTTGATATTCCACTTGCGCTTAATTTTTATTTAAATGCTACGCTTTTTATTTATTTGGATTTATAAAGTGCTTTTCACAGAGACCAAACTGCTGTACAAAAATATATAACGTATTTACAGTTTTATACAATTCGAAGCACATAAGAATACTGTTTGCCGAGCACTCGATGTCGACAAATCGAACCGCTTCCAGTCACGGCGCACACTGCGTCATACGACCGTCGAAGGCAACGGATCCAACTCCACTCCCCGTGAGTGTTAGACGACGCGACACCGTCTGCTGATTGTCCGTGGCAGTCTGAACTGAACGGATAATTAAAAACAATCCGTTGAAGTGCAATCGTCGGTCGACGCGATTCTATGGAGAACGAACGTCACGACTTACGCGCAACGGATTGTTTATAATGACGATCAGCTCAAACTGTTACCGACAATCAATCAATTAGTCAATCAACCAATCAACAAGGATTAATATTCACGGCAGAATGTGATGTTCAGTGGCGCTATGGCAGTCGGATTTACTGTGAAGTTAATTAAAGCCCCATTCCCGGCAAAATTTCAATTTTTTTTTTAAATCTAATTTTTGTATAATGTTATAAAGATTTATAAATATAATCCGGAATTGCTAGTTTAACTGAATTTAGACATTCCTAAGAATGAAAAAAATGTAAAATAAGACTGAAATTTGATTTTTTGTGTTCCACACAAAAAATAAATGCGGATGTATTCAATGTATTCGATGTTCGAAATACGCAGAGCTGTGTGTGTGTACCATCCAAGATGGCTGCCGTAGATTTAGCCAATCAAATTTCGCCTAAGCGCCATCGTTTGCAACGGCGCCCTCAATTTACACAGAAAGTTCAGTACAGCCAGTTACCCGTATGTTTGAAACTCGAGCGTTGCAGCGGTGTTTGGGTGTAATGTACACGATTTTAATTGTCATTCCTTGGTACTTTATTTTTGAATAAGATGCTCCACTTGGCCTCGTTTTGGCTACGATAGTTTAATAATTTGTTATTACCATTACTCATTATCATTAATGAAATAATAGTCAGTCAGAGAGCTTATTAATATGTAATAATATGGATACTAAGCCTGAAGGCGGCGCTTTACTACGACGACCTTTTTTTAATGGTACACATACATAACTCTTCATTGCTTCGCCATTTTGTCAGCACTCTAGTTGTTTAATAGCTCTATGGAAAAAAACTTATAAAGAGATAAGATTTGACAGAAGCATGCAATCTCTGAAAAATCCTAAAATATTTGTCAGACATATTTAATGGCTGATCAACAGTAGGCTATGCTCAATGATTAGTTTACCATAATGTTTTTCATTTCTTACCTTTAGATGAGTAGGCCCATCTGTATATTATTCAGATATAGTTAGGTATAGAGTAGTGGCCTCTATACGTCAATTATTTTGTTTGTATTGTGAAACTTTTTCATTTAACATATGGATGTACCCAGGCTTCGTAATACTTCGTAACTTTTAAATGGTTGCTGTGGTGGATTTTAACGCTTGTCATTATCAATATAAGCTTATAGTATAAATGTTATAACAGATTAATAAAACAAACTTCGTATTCCGCTTTGAGTACTAGCCTTACCTTGATTTACCTTGATGCTTCGAGACTTAGAGACCTATGCTCGTTTGTCCCTCTTGATACATCCGAGAATTTCTTCAGATACATACGGGGCCAGACCAGTTTCCTTTTTCCAGAACCGACTTAAAGGCATTTACTGTCTTTGCGGACACAACATAATTCGGAAGCGCATTCCAATAATTCACTACTCTAACTGAGTAGGAATTTTTTCTAACATTGGTATTTGCTCTACTTTATAATCATGTCCTCTAGTTGGGCATTCAAAAATATTGCTTGAGTCAATGGTATCCATATCATGCAATATCTTGTATGTTTGAACAAAATCAGCTCTCTTCCTTCTATAAGATAGCGTAGGTAAATTTAGCTCTTTTAATCTATCCACATATTCCTTCCCTCTCAATTCACTTACTAATCTAGTAGAACAAATCACTATCTTTCTTGTATAAGGGAGACCAAGCGCTTCCCCCATACTCAAGCGAAGGTCTTACTCTAGACTTATAGAGAGACATATAACCATTACTATCGAGGTATTTGAATGACCTAATAATTAAACCAAGCATCCTATTAGCTGATCGGGCAACATTTGTGCATGTGCGAATCAATGTTAGACAGTGTCACCGATAGCATTTAGTATATTGTAATTTTGCTTGGAAAATCATTGTAGTAGTATTGTAGAAGTTCGTAGAAACTTTATTAAAATAGTGTTTGTGGTATATTCAGTATCCTGACTTTTCCTCACAGGTGATTGGTGTTTATTGATTTACCTTTGATTCGAGAGATCCTTGTTATTGTTAAGATGCAACAATTCACCACTGTCACCACAAATTTGAGATCTTGTTATGACCATCAACAAACCGTTTATGATTACAATGATGATAGTGACGTCAATGACGACGATGATGGTGGGGGTGATGAATGACAGTGACATAATCGCCCGACCGACACAAATTTTACGAAATTAAGGGTCGCATTTTAGTGCTTCACCGTACGCACAGCACTCCGGCCGTGATGTTTCACCCTAGGCCACTTTGGATGGACAACGCTTCCATAAGAAAGACGAAAAGTTTGCAACAGCGCCCTCATTTATTAATGTATATCAGATGTAAATATTGAAGCGTAATATATAGTGGGACTTTTTGTGAATGAGATATATAGGCCTATGCTTAAAAAGGAAATAAACCATATATAATAACACTATACCAATTCTATTGTAACCAAGAAAAAAGAACAAATCCGACGAAAATAGACTGAGCAGAAAAATAAAACATCGCATTCATCGTTCACCCGCAAATTAAGACACCCATCAGAATGTAAAATCATAATGAAAACTATTTATTACTAGTTCATTCATTCTTTATTCAGCAAACATAACATTTACAATTACAATGAAAAGCAACCAATTTTACAATATAATAAATTTGTCGACTTATATAGCGCATATTGTGGAGACCTCTACGCGCTTACATTATTACCTAAGTTGGCTGGGATTGATAATGATTAACACTCTAGTTCAAAAGCCTAGTAACCCGGGAAATAATAAAGATAGCAATACAATTTTTTTTAAATTAATTAAATAAATAGGAAAACTAATTAAGAAATCGAATAAACTCGTTGAACTACCAAAACAAAAGGCAAATCAAGAAAGAAAACTTACGAAGTTAAAATATCTAATTAGTCCCAATCTGCTTAATTGTTGTTCATGCTTTTATTTCCACTAAGCTTGATTATTAATTCTCATATAT